CTGGATAGTTGGCGATTCATTCCGCTGTGGTGACCCCTGATGAATTAAGAGACTGAGCCGAAGGAAAATAATTGACAGAATAAATGATGAATAATTGAGAGACGTGAAGTTAAACTAAATCATAAATGTAGAATTAAATTCACTCAGAATAAAACATTTTCAAAATATTGAAACAATTTAAGTGGAAGATCAGCGTAATGAATAAGGTCTGCTAAATATCAGAATAAAAGAGATCATGAGCTGCAGTCAGAAAACGTGAAGAGGAGATTAATAATCTCTCCATCATCACAGGTCAGTGTAACACACTCACGCTGTATCAGTTCCCAAAACTAATGAACCTGAATCTCACCGACAGCAAACTACTGGGCAGAGTGTGTGCGGAGTGTTTCACTGCTGAGACTCGTGTGTGTGTGTGTGTGTGTGCTGGTGATCCTCAGCTCATCTGTGCTCTCTTCTGTCTGTCTGTGTCTGTGTGTGTGTGTGTGTGTGTGTGTGAGCACAGTGTGGTGTGTGTGTTCTCTGTGGTTTCTCCTCAGGCGCGTGCAGGACTTCTGACTATTTTAGATTGAGTGACTCACAATCTGTCAGAAATCACAAATGTCAAATCACTGAGAGAGAGAGAGAGAGAGAGAGAGAGAGAGAGAGGAAGAGAGAGGAAGAGAGAGAGAGAGAGAGAGAGGAAGAGAGAGGAAGAGAGAGGAAGAGAGAATCATTTGTTTATTCATGTTCCTTCTTTATTCATCAAGGGTCCCCACAGCAGAATGAACCGCCAACTATTCCAGCATATGTTTTACACAGCAGATGCCCTTCCAGCTGCAACCCAGTACTGGGAAACATCCATACACTCTCATTCACACACACACACACACTACGGCTAATGTAGTTGATCAATTCCCCTATTGCGCATGTTTCCACACAGAAACACCAACTGACCAAGCCGAGACTCGAACCGGTGACCTTCTTGCTGTGAGGCGATTGTGCTACTGTGCTACCAAGACGCTCCAGAATTATTGTTAATTGTTTATTACACTGCAGTTTTCATAATGATCTTTTATTACTAACTAAATGAACACTGCACATTTAGCAGACACTTATACTGATGTTTTACTATTATTTTAAAGAAGATATCACTTGTTAAATGGTTTTCTGGCAGGCGGATCAGTTGAAGATGAAGTTTTTGAGATTATTTTTTTAATATTTACCAAACACTGTTACTGAGTAGAGATTTTTCACAGTCATTTTTATATATATATTTATTTCTTTTCTTCCAGGAGAAATTCTTATTTCTTTTAGTTTGACTGGAATGCATTTTTTTATAAAAATAAATCTTTGTATACTCACCGGCCACTTTATTAGGTACGCCTGAATAGTACCGGGTTGGACCTCTTTAGTCTTCAGAACTGCCCTGATCCTTCATGTCAGAGATTCAACAAGCTGCTGGAAATATTCCTCAGAGATTTTGCTCCATATTGTCATGATAGCATCACACAGTTGCTGCAGATTTGTCAGCTGCACATCCATGATGCCAATCTCCCGTTCCACCACATCCCAAAGCTGCTCTATTGGATTGAGCTCTGGTGACTGTGGAGGCCATTTGAGTACAGTGAACTCATCGTCATGTTCAAGACACCAGTCTGAGATGATTGAGCTTTATGACATGCTGCGTTATCCTGCTGGAAGTAGCCATCAGAAGATGGAGACACTGTGCTCATAAAGGGATGGACATGGTCAGCAGCAATACTCAGGTAGGCTGTGGCGTTGATGCTCAATTGGTACTAATGGACCCAAAGAAAATCTCCCCCACACCATTACACCACCACCACCAGCCTGAACCGCTGATACAAGGCAGGATGATCCATGCTTTCATGTTGTCTGAGCCGAGCATCTGAATGTGTCAGCAGAAATGGAGACTCATCAGAGCAGCAACGTTTCTCCAATCTTCTATTGTCCAGTTTTGGTGATGGTTGTGCCTGAAATACTCAGAGCAGCCCGTCTGGCAGCAACAACCATGCCACGTTTAAAGTCACTTAAATCCCCTTTCTTCCCTATTCTGATGCTCGCTCTGAACAGCAGCAGATCGTCTTGAGCATGTCTACATGAGCTGCTGCCATGTGATTGCAGAAATTTGCACTAACGAGCAGTTGGACCGGTGTACCTAATAAAGTGGCCGGTGAGTGTATGTATATTTTCATGTAAAAACTGCTGTGGTCAATATTATTAGCACCCTTAAGAATATTTTTCAATTGTCTACAGAGCATACCACTCTTGGTTGTCCAATTAATCTCCTAATTAAGGCTTTAAATTACACTTCAAGCTGAATATCTTGTACTGTCATAAAACTATTAAAACAATAAAACTATTACAAATGTGTTTAAAATGAAGATTCAATACTCAATGGTTATTCAGGCCCAAAAGTGTCTGAGATCAACTATTAGCCTTTTAAAAAAGATTTCCAAAAAGAGATTTTGTTTTCAAGTGCAAAGTTTTAATAAATAATATTAAAACTTTGAAAAAAATTTGTAATTAATATTTATTTATTTATTTTTTATAAATAAAAATGTATTAAAAAATAAAGTTTAATTGATAATAATTAAATAAATAATATAAATAACTCATTCACTTTCGGCCGCAGCTGTATCCCCGCTAACATCACCTGATGTGTGAGTGTGTGCTGACATCTGCTGACAACACGGAGGAACAACTACAACTGCTGCAAGAGCTGCACGCGTCCGCTAGAGGGAGACACACCGCCAGACAGAGCAACTGTTCATTTATTTACACGCGCATGACTGCACACACACACACACAAATGGCGTGAATAAGGGATGTTAAACTCAATTCCCGGAGGGCCGCAGCTCTGCACAGTTTAGTTCCAACCCTAATTAAGCACACAGGATCAAACTAAGTAAGTCCTTTAGGCTTGTTTGAAACCTGAAGGAAGGTGTGTTAGAGCAGGGTTGGAACTAAACTGTAGGGCTGCGGCCCTCCAGGAATTGAGTTTGACACCCCAATCTTAGATTTAATTACATTGAGATTTTAGAATCTGTACAGAATTAAACCGCATTTGTATTTGCTTATTGGAAACACATTGCTCAAACGCGTCTATATAGATGTCATGCGCAGTTGTTATATTTCCTGTCAGTTCATACATTCGTGTTCTTTTTCAGCTTGGACTCTTTATTAATCTAGGGTCACCACAGCGGAATGAACCGCCAACTTCCTGTCAGTTCAGTTGAATTTAATTTTTTTTTATTCTGGTTTCTATTTCACTCATGATTTTTGTTGTTCACTGAACATGTTTTTAACATATTAGTTTCTGCATTGCTTATCTAAAGTGTTGTTTTAGTGTTAAACTAACTGAAAATAGGAAATATAAATGGTTAATACTATAAAATATGACTTTGCAGTGGAATATTATTATTAAAAGCTGAAACTTTTGCATCTTTACCCATCAGCATAGCTTAATGACTGTAAAATAAAACAAAAAGCAGATTATCATTGAGTGCGGATCATTCCTTATATCAAGTATTACTTTGATGACTTGCGTATAAACTTATTTAATATAGCGTATGCACTAAACATGTCTGTTAATGAACTATTTCTGTGTTTGGTGTGTATTAGCGGTGGTGATCGGCATTATGGGATGTTGATCTCTGCTCTGTCCACTTCTGATGTTGAAAACTCAACTCTACAGATTAACAAAGAGACTTTAATTGACGTTTCAGGAGTCTAAAATAACATTATTATGAATAATAGATAATATGTACATAGAAATAAGTGTGTAAAATAACAGTGAATGTGCTGCAGTTTATTACACGGCTTCTGTAGTGTAATATACAACACCAACACACACACAATACAGCACTGCACACTATCACACATGTGCAGAACACACACTTTATACAACTGATCAAGGTTAAAAGGTGTTGAAAGAAAGATCAAGATCCCATAATGACATTCAGAAGCAGAAATATATGGAGGAAATTAAAAAACATCAATCACAAAATATAGAAAAATGCTCATTTACAGATATTTCTATGTTTTAAATTAAGGTTTAGGTAAAAGATAAGAACCTACGAGCTATTTCAGCTGTAGTTTACACATTTAAAAATGAAATGATCAGTTCATGTGGCTTTAGGTCAATGATATCATGCACTAATTATTTTAATAAGCAGCACATTAAAGAGAACAGAGCCGATAATGAGCTCCTGCTGACTCTAATCCTGAATCAAGTTCATTGAGGGAGTTTGTAAAGTGTGCAACAAACCTGCAGGGTGTGCAACAGGTGCTGCAGCTCTCCTCCTCTGTGTGTGTGTGTGTGTGTGTGTGTGTGTGTTGATCGATCACACGTGCAGATTATTAAGAGTTTAATTCTCCTCTCTAACATCTGCATATTAAAAATCATCAACATTATTAGCACAAACTCTTCTCCTTCAGAGTTCGTGCAGTGACGCTACGTTTTTGTTTTTTCCCGCGTGATCCCGCATCATCAAAGCGCCGCCGCCGTCGCAGCTGGAGCTCATTAACCGCGGAGCGCGCGCAAAACCCGAGCGGCACTTTGATGCTCTTGAGACGCGGGAGCGGCCACTTCAAAGCGGCGCTTAGACCAGCTTAACAGCACAAATACAGTCCAGACCATCATCATCATCATCACGGACACAACACACTCATACACACACACTCCAGTGAAGGTTAACAGCGTGTTTAATCGATGAAGCTTTAACCAATTATTGTTATTAATTAATCTATTGATCTACAGCACAGACTCTTGTCCATCCTCAGCGACGTCACTTTTTACCTGGAAACAAACAAACAAAAAAGTGCATTAAAACAGTGTATTTTACTCATAAACAGATCAAAACCTTTAAAGATGTTTCTGTTTCGAATAAATGCTGTATACTGAGTTGTTTTAGCATACCGCTGGGTCAAATATACACAAACACACACTGATTTTTTTTCAATTAAATTTATCACACTTTGTTTCATTTCTTACGAAAAATGAATCAAACTGACTCTCTTTATGAGAAATGAATCAAACTGACTCTCTTTATGAGAAATGAATCAAACTGACTCTCTTTATGAGAAATGAACCAAACTGACTCTTTATGAGAAATGAATCAAACTGACTCTCTTTATGAGAAATGAATCAAACTGACTCTCTTTATGAGAAATGAATCAAACTGACTCCCTTTATGAGAAATGAATCAAACTGCTCTCTTTATGAGAAATGAATCAAACTGACTCTCTTTATGAGAAATGAATCAAACTGACTCTCTTTATGAGAAATGAATCAAACTGACTCTCTTTATGAGAAATGAATCAAACTGACTCTCTTTATGAGAAATGAACCAAACTGACTCTTTATGAGAAATGAATCAAACTGACTCTCTTTATGAGAAATGAATCAAACTGACTCTCTTTATGAGAAATGAATCAAACTGACTCCCTTTATGAGAAATGAATCAAACTGCTCTCTTTATGAGAAATGAATCAAACTGACTCTCTAATAAGAAATTAATCAAACTGTCGCTCATAAGAAATGATTTAAACTGACTTTCATAAGAAATGAATCAAATTGACTCTCTCAAAAGAAATGAATCAAACTGACAATCTCTCATAAGAAATTAATCAAACTGACTCTCATGAGAAATGAATCAAACTTTCATGAGAAAGGAATCAAATTGACTCTAATGAGAAATAATTCAAACCAACCCTGTTGTGAGAAATTATTCAAATAGATTCTTTCTCATGAAAAATGAAAAAAATTAATCAAACTGACTCTCTCCAATGAGAAATTAATCAAACTGACTCTTATGAGAAATGAATCACTGTCTCTTATAAGAAATTAATCAAACTGGCTGTCATAAGAAATGAATCAAATTGACTCTCTCATGAGAAATGAAACAAACCAACTCTGTTGTGAGAAATGAATCAAATTGACTCTCTCATAAAAAAAAAATGAATCAAACTGACTCTCTCATAAGAAATGAATCAAACTGACTCTCTCATAAGAAATGAATCAAACTGACTCTCTCCAATGAAAAATTAATCAAACTGACTCGCTTTATAAGAAATGAATCAAACTAACTCTCTCCAATGAGAAATGAATCAAACTGACTCTCTCCAATGAGAAATGAATCAAACTGACTCTTAAGAGAAATGAATCAAACTGACTCGCTTTATAAGAAATGAATCAAACTGACTCGCTTTATAAGAAATGAATCAAACTGACTCTCTCCAATGAGAAATGAATCAAACTGACTCGCTTTAAAAGAAATGAATTAAACTGACTCTCTCCAATGAGAAATGAATCAAACTGACTCTTATGAGAAATGAATCAAACTGACTCGCTTTATAAGAAAAGTAATTAAACGGACTCTCTCCAATGAGAAATGAATCAAACTGATTCTTATGAGAAATGAATCAAACTGACTGCCGTAAGAAATGAATAAAATTGACTCACGGAAAAATAAATCAAACGGTCTTTCATGAGAAATGAATCAAACCAACTCTGTCGTGAGAAACAAATCAAATTGACTCTTTCTCATGACAAAATGAATCAAACTGACTCTCAAAAAAAAATGAATGAAACAGACTCCTCATGAGAAATGAATCAAATTGACTCTAATGAGAAATGAACAAACCAACTCTGTCGTGAGAAATGAATCAGATTGATTCTTTCTCATGAAAAAATGAATCAAACTGACTTTCTTATGAGAAATGAATCAAACTCTCTCTTGAGAAATGAATCAAATTGACTCTCTCATGAGAAATAAACCAAACTGACTCATGTGCAACGAATCACACGGACTGTCATAAGAAATAGATTAAAGTGATCCTCATGACAATTGATTCAAACCAACT